CCTTAAATCTTGGATCATCAAACAAGCCTTGCTCAATCATATCAACACACCACTTCAACCTAGTCTTCTTGTTTGCATCTGTGAGATATGGTTTGATGCTACTTGAGTGCCGCCTAATTAAACTTTTTTTCAAATATCTTTGTATTTTAGATTTGCTCATACCAAGTTTACTAGACACATCTTCTATTGTCATTCTTTGCTTGAGAGGGATGTTGCGCAAAAGTTCCAAATTAGGTGGGATTGCCTTGCGTCCACTTCTACCGTGCTTTGTACTAGTAACCACAACTGGAATATTATGATCAAGTTGTGTTTTACCTCTCCGCCATAGGCGTTGAACGGACCGGATGTGCACACCAAATTGAGCAGCAACGATGCTTGTATCCTTCCTCCTTAGTTTCCCATTATTGCTTCTAGTCAACAAAGCTTGGTACACTTGTGCGCACTCGTGGTCTGTCATGTCCTTCCTTCGAGGATTTGGTTGAACGGTAGCATCATGAGCATGATCTAGTAGAGGAAAAAAGAAACAAAGTATCCGTAACATCATCAGCAAGCGCTTCAACAAAGTAGCCGTGGCTTAACTAAAATGAATAATGTGATTGTGTCAAAAAAAAAGTTACCAGCAAGATTTTGTAGATAGTCGAAATTAACTGCACCGAACTCATCTAGTGGTAAGTTCAAATCAAGTACTGTAAAAAAAATAAACAATGATTTAAGAACTGCGCAAAATCTGCATATGCTAAGAAACACACAAGAGCGCTAAGTGATGCATTACCGCCATGGTGAACTTCTGGCTCGTCGACGTCGAACACGTCATTGTCGTCATCATCTTGTGGCTCGTCCACGTCGAACACGTTGTCGTCGTCGTCATCTTGTGGTGCTGGAACGTTGAGATCGAACCCAGTGTCGACTTCGTCATCTTCGGATGCTAGTACGTTGAGATCGAAACTAGGAATATAATCAGACATTTGTACTGGGAGTAGAAGCAGGAAGGAAAGAAGAAGAAAAGGCGTGGAGTAGATGCAGTACTGGGAGCAGCATCTGAACGTTTTATAGTACTGGGAGCAGCGTGTGTAGACGCGCCAAACACGCGCGCGCGAGAACGCCGAAAATGCGTCTGATCGCCGAAAATTTGAAAGCAAGTGAACCTATAAACGCGCCAACACACGCGCGAGAAAGCAAAACGGGAGCAAACGCTAAAAACACTCCTACACGCGCGCGTCACCTGTGCCAAAACGCTCCTGCACGCGTGCGCAAACGGCCAAACCCTGACCTCACGCGCCCAAACTCAAGCAGCACATCGCCATGCAACGAAGCACAGTGCCATGCAAATAATCTGGCGAATACAAAAAAAATACCACGGCTGCCAGCACTCGAACGGTGGACGTCCGTCCTCGGGCCGCAGAGCCTTGGCCACTCGAGCTACGAAAGTTTGCTGGATAAGCAGCACACGCAGGCCTATTTAATAAGGACAAGGATAGAAAATTAACCCCTAATTAATTTCTCCTTGGTATGCACAATTATGTCCTAAACGACTTGTTTTATGGGTATGGAGGGAGTATAGCAAAGCAATCTGAGGTCGTCAAGATTCCCTTTGCCACATTCTGTATGCGCTTGTGTAAGCAGACTCGAATCCAAACACAGATGCCACAGCAGTCGTTTGGGGTACAGCTAGCTCCAAAGACGCATAGTTTAGCAGGGACGCAGCAACAGACATCCCCTACCAACCGGTTGGGTATTGCTCTGATGAGTGTTGACGCACTGCGTGATTTCATGGGTTGATTACAGAATGCGAGGCGGTCGTCCGGTAGCGGGGCGGGGGCAGGTCGAGCCCATGTGCCGCGGAGCCAATCGGCTTCGGCGGCGTGGCAGTGGCCGTGCGTGATCGGTTGGCCCGTCCCGTCGCCGAGGAATATTTCTGCCAGACTCTCAGATGCGCTTTTCCTCGCTCGGTCGACGCCTCGCTTTGCTTTCTCGCCGAGACGCCGACGGTGCTGCCGGCGCCCGGCGGTGCGTGTGCGTTAGATAGACAGACAGACAGACAGAGACAGGGGTAGGCCGCTCAGGTCCCCAAACTCTGCATCATCTGGATAAGCAGGCAGGCGGCCGGAGAGCATGCACGGGACGGCCGAAGGCGCCAAGACGGCGACTTTTCTGGTGTTGCATGAGCCATGCATGCTTTGCATTCGTTGCGCAAGCTGTATGTTGCTCTTCTAGTCTTCTTGGTTCCATTCATGCGTTGCCCAAGAGGATGTTAGTAAAAGCGAGCTTCCTTCGGCTTTGTTGAAAGCTAGCAACTTGTTTGGAACTTTGGATCAACTTTATATCGTACGTCGAGCTCTTAGAACTTTCCGAGCTGTTCGGCTAATGGTTTCTGCGGCTGATAAGCCGGCTGACGCTGATTTGTTGTGGGAGAAAAACACTGTTCCATAGCTGATAAGTTCTAGCAGTGTAATCGAACAGGGCCGATAAGTTCGACTATCACAAACAAGTCGTCGATAAAAGCTACGGAGTAAAAAGAGCCAGCTTGTGACATTACTGTTACAATACGAACAATCAGATTCTAAAAGACAATGCGCGTGCACATTTTTTTTTTGCAGTCGCTATAGCTTTTGCATAGTGCGATCGTATAATATACTCTCGGCTTACTAGAATCGTAAGGATAGCCAATGGTTTTTATACTGTCGGCCAGTATCTTACACTATCGAGCATTTGATACAAAGACCAACAAAAATTGGCAATGGCTCATCACCGAAATAGCCGAGTGTCCTAGCAACACAATTGAGAATCGTATAACTGTCGGCTATTATAACCATTTGCCACGTGTCTCACTAGGACTGCCGAGAATTAGTTTTCCCTGTCGGCCATCTAGTCTACGGTCCGACTGGTTAGCTTTCTAACCCTCAGGACTACTCTGCATGGTTGGGTATTTGATACAAAGATCGGCAGGGCAGCTTGTAACCATTGGTAACACCTTAACCGTTGGCCATTCACAATTTCACCGACTGCCCGTTGGCCATTATACTTAACTGTTCGCAAATGTTGTGTTTCTAGCAGTGTTAGTAGCGTGCACTTTTTTCTTTTCTTTCAAAGACAATGCGCGTAGCGCGTGGACACTTTTCCATCGACGAGATAAGTTTGGACTGTTTCTTACTGTATACTTTTCCGCTAGTTACGTGACCTGTGTGCTTTTCCTACTGTATACTTTTCCATCGACGGGATAAGTTTGGACTGTTTCTTCTCTCCTATAACTAACGGCACCTAGCTCGCTGCTTAGAAATTACTTGTAAATAAATGCAGCGAGCGACGACGACGACCTAGTACGTAGCTATCATTGAATTTTTCTCAGCAGAATACACAGTGTAGTGTCGCTAGGTGCGCGTACTCATCACTTGCAGATGGTGGTGTCCCCTGAGAAATTTCACGGGCCGGGCCCGGGCAACAGATCATGCTGTCGGAAATGGATGGCGTTGGTGTTTGACTAGTGACCCTCGCGAGACGACCGCGGACTTGCATTATACTATCATGCGTGGGCTGTGGCTACTGGCTACTGGCTAGTGCTTCTCGCATTGATAGGGCCTGTCTCACTTGACCTCGACCCTTTTTAGAGGAAAAAATTACAAAAATGACACTCGAAAAGATTGACTCTTGATTATGATGACATTCGGATGGATGACAAGTGGGTCTATCTGTGTCTATGAATGTAGATCCAGCGTTAAATCTGCAAACGATGTTTCGAGTCTCATTTTTACGAATCGCCCTCTCGAGAGAGGCCTTTCACAATTTCATCAGCAAAAACGACCCGGCCGGTTGAAATTGAATTACCATTTCATATTTATGAATTTCTCCAAGTTGCTTGCGTGGTACGGTGTACGTACGTAAGTAGTTTGGTTTCATCTACCGTCGTTTGCTCTGCTCGTGTTGAGTGTGCGAGTGGTGTGTGTATGGGTGTGCCACTAAAATCCTTCGTGGCTACCTATCTCTTTCCACTCGTACGTACGTGTCATGTTCATGTCCTCCGAGTAACAACGACTGTTGCCTGATCTTGTCATCTCGTTTAATTTCAGGGAATGGAAATGTCTACATGAGCTAGCTTTCATAGCCTCACCTTTATCTGGTGCGCAATAACTAAGTGGGCGTTTGTGGCTATTCCACAAGCTCAACTCCACAAAACTCTACAGCAGCTCTACAAAAAACTGGAGCTTGTGGAACACCTCTTTAGGTGTCCTCACAACTCCACCCTTTTTCTTGAACATAGTGCGTGGAACTAAAACCATTTAGCTAAAAAACGTGGAGCAAAGCTGAAAAACGTAGAGCGAAGCAGTCCAAAACATCACCTAATAAGAGTAAAAATTCCTTTACATACGCCTCCAACTTACACGGCAGTCCGATTTTTAATTCTGAACTACGAAACCGGATATCAAACACCCTTTATTTGGAACTTATTTATCTTGTTCCTACTTAGAGTTCTAAATAGATAACTTTAAGTAGAAATAATATAACTCTACGTATATCAACAAGTCACCAACAGATAGATAGTATTATTAAAAAAATATTAGTTTCGTAATTTTCTAATTTATAACAAATTACTTATATTTAAAATATTTAAATAGATTTTTGTTATTTTTAGAAAATAGAAAACTAGCTTTAAAATCCGTTAAAAAACAAAAAAAAAATTGACAGATTTGAATAGTCGAAGTATATTTGGTATCCAATTTCATCGTTTATGATTTAAAATCAGACTGCGGTGCAAGGTTAGAAAATGCACTTTACCTACTGATCTTTTTTTTTTTGAGACGAACTACTACTAACTAATCAGTAATCACTCGTGACCGTCGCGCAGTCCAGGTCACAAAGCGACTGCAACCAGAAGCCGATTTCTCACTCCAGCCGTCCAGGCCCCGGCGGCCCGGCATTATATAAACCGCTCGACCGTGGTTGCTTGGCCTTCAGCCCTTCACACACCACACCACCAAGTTGCACAACTACTCCCTCTATTTGCCATGAGCAGCTCCTTCCTCAAGGCCACGGCGGTTGCCATGGTCGTCGTGTCCGTCCTCGCGACCACGGCGGAGGCAGCCTTCTCCTACTACATCCCGACGCCTGCAACCCCCGACTTCCTCTTGTCGCCCATCTTCCTGTGGGTGACAGCCAACGTCATCATCGTCTGGCTCGTTTCCTCCTCCCGCCGCCGTGGCAGGGCGGCCAACGACGACACCGTAGCCCCGTCCTCAGCAGCGCACGACGGCGAGTTTGTACCGGGCGCCGTAGAAAACAGCTTCTACGCGTCTTCGTCGGAGTACGAGGCTTTCTCCGACGCGGCGCCCAGCGGCGGCCGCCGTGCGGACGACGCGGTGCCCAGCGGCGGCCGCCGTGCGGACGACGCGCCGGTGTCGTCCAAGAGGCTGACCCGGGAGGCGAGAGCTGCGGCCAGGAGAAGCGACCGCCCCCGCGTGCGCAAGAAACCGGCCGTCCAGGACGCGCCGACGACCCCGCCGTGGGCCGTCGTGGCAGATGCACGTGATGAAACGGCCCACGACGAGAGACATGGCCAGGCCCTGGAGGAGACGGCGCCTGCTGTATCCGTCGACGACGACGAAGGCGACGTCTCCCTGGACTCGCTGTGGGCGTCGATCGTGCAGCGGCGCGCGGCGCGTCCGGTGGTGGTGCAGAAGAGCGAGTCGTGGGGCAACGAGGAGCTGCCCCGGCTGCAGCGCGTGGCCGAGACGGCCGCGGCTGCGGAGCGGCGGCAGGTGCGCAAGTCCGTCTCGGCGGTCGCCAAGGCGTCGGCGGCCCCGACGCCGCCGGCACCGTCGGAACCGTCGGCGGCGGCCAGCAGGCAGATGGGGTGGCGCACCCGGGACGTGCTGATCACCATCTCGCCGGACGAGCTGCTCCGGCGCGCGGAGAGCTTCATCCGGCGGCAGCGCGAGCACCTGCGCCTGCAGCGGCAGGAGTCCGAGCAGCGCCAGCTGCTGCTGCAGCGTCGCCTCCACGCCCCCGCGCCGCCGGCACCTCTCATCCGCGTCTAGACGACCCGCGCCGCGCCGTGTGCCGGCGCCTAGAAGACACCCACCCACCCGTGCATGCTTCATCAGCCGACGATCGATGCTCGTGCCCGTGCAAGGCCATGTGTACATACATATATAACCATAAGCCTACGTGAGATCGAGAGGCCGCAGCCCGGGCTCGAGCATCGATCGACCGAGAGGGCCAAGACAAGATGGAACAACACGTGGCCGGATCACTGTCGCGCGTCCATGCCTGTACATATGTGTGCACCAGGCTGGAGCACCATGCCACCATGCCCCATGCGAACTATATACATCTAGCTATATCCTCCGCCCCCCCCCCTCATATTTAATGTAGATTACTACTTATTATTAAGAGATCACTGCATGTGTGAGTTAGTGAGCAATATGGTCATATGTTTGCATACGAGTACCTTAATCTTAAAGCCTATATATATGGGCCTTCTATTGTAAATTACGTAGCCTCCTCTAAATAGATGGAGAGGCGGTGTGCGTGCAGCCGTGCACACTGCACAAGAAATTAATAAAAGAGTATGTTAATTTGTTCTTCTGTATATGCATATATTGTCTTTTAGATGATATATATTGCCTTCTTTTTACCATGTCTGCTATAATTTATAGATGTTAATAGCATACTCAAAATCTACCATGATAATATACTTATTCTCTAATGATTCCTGTTAACTGCTACTCCTACTACATGACTTAGAAAGAAATAGCTCGCTCACTGCTACTAGATACTCGATGAATCCCAAATAAGTGTCGCTCTGGTAATCGTGCCGGTCAATTTTTTTAAGTTTGATTAGGTTTGTAATAAATATTAGCAACATTTGTATCTCCAAATAAGTTTATTATGAAAGTAGATTCAACAATCTATCTAATATTACTAATTATTTACTATAAATATATTAATATTTTTTTATACATTTGGTCAAAGTTGAATGTGTTTTACTACTCAGGAAACGAGAATAACACCTGTTTTGGGATGGAAGGGAGTAGACTGAAGCATCGATCATACATGCAAACTGCACTATGATATGATAGCAACAACAATTTGGCTGGGTTTGCTGATAGAGCAATCAACCAGCTGGATTTGCACGAAACCTTTTCCTTGAAGATGAGGCCATATGCTGTCGGGTGGATCGAAAGATGGAGCGCAGGATTAGATTGAAGGGTTTGGTGCAGATCATAATCGTAGGCTCTCGTAGGGGACACAGCAAGGGACACACGCACGAGTGACAAGATGCATGCCCTGTCCAAGCTCCCCTTTAATCTGCACTGCTGGCTAGCTTGTGTCACAGCAAGAACTCACATTAGTGCTGCACCACTGATTGTTCTCTGTGCACTGCTATGACACTACGATCATCCAGCACAACTGCTGGCAACAACTAACATAATGCTTTCCGGAGGCGACAAAACCTCTCTCTCCTTTTTTGGAAGCCTAATGTGATACTTTAAATAGTATCAAGGCATGCATGGTACTCATGCACCATGCATGAGTCTCTCTCGTAAAACTAAATTTAATTGTTGTGTCCTCGGTCTATCACTACCGGACGCGGCTGATTCGCCGAGTGCAAAAAGCTTTGCCGAGTGCTTTTTGTCGGGCACTCGGCAAAAGCAATCTTTGCCGAGAGCCGGCCCTAGCGGCACTCGGCAAAGGTAGGCCGTCGGCAAATCTTCCTTTGCCGAGTGCCAGACACTCGGCAAACTTTAGCCGTCGGCAAAAATTTTCCTTTGCTGAGTGCCGGGCGCTCGGCAAAGATTGGCTGTCCGCAAAAAAATCTTTACCGAGTGCCGGGCACTCGGCAAATTTTGGTCGTCGGCAAAGGTGGCCGACGTGACGGCGGCCACTTGCCGTCAGCCTTTGCCGAGTGCCCCGCCGTTAGGCGCTCGGCAAAGCGTTTTTTATTTTTTTTTAAAAAAATTCTTTGCCGAGTGCCCTGTGACCTGGCATTCGGCAAAGGCTTCTTTGCCGAGTGCCAAGGTTGGCACTCGGCAAATTAATTTTTTTTTGTTTAATTCGCCCCATTTTTTTTGGGGTCTTGCTAAAGTAATTGAAACTCCATTTTAAAATTTGGGACAATTTTGAGTTTTTTTACTATATTTCCTTAATTATTTTTGTTTCGTTAAATTTTTGCGACTATTTCAAATTTGAACTGCATGTACATGAAATAATGGAATTTGGTCATTCAAAAAATGGTATTCATGATGTTTGGCGTATGTTGAGGCTGTATCCAGGAATTCGCATGAAATTACGAGGATCTTGTTGTCATGTTGAGGCCGTATCCAGGAATTCGCATGAAATGACCAAATTCCATTATTTCATGTACATGCAGTTCAAATTTGAAATAGTCGAAAAAATTCAACGAAACAAAAATAATTAAGGAAATATAGTAAAAAACTCAAAACTGTCTCAAATTTTGAAACGGAGTTTTAATTACTGTAGCAAGGTCCCAGAAAAAAATGGGGCGAAAAAAAAAATTTAATTTGCCGAGTGCCAGTCACAGGGCGCTCGGCAAAGAATTTTTTTTAAAAAAAATAAAAAACCCTTTGCCGAGTGTCGCTAGGCCCAACACTCGGCAAATCTTTTTACCTAAAGGCCCAGAACGGGCCGGCCCAACCCCACCCCCTCCTCACTCCTCTCCCACCCGCCAGGCATTTCCCTACCGCGCCGCCGCCGCCCCCGTGCTCCGCCGCGCCGCCGCCCCCGCCATCGTCCCCCTCCGGCGAGGTCCTGCTGGGCCCGCCCCGGCGCCCCCGTCCCGCTCCCCCCACCTAGCGCCCCCGCCCCGGCGGCCCCGTGCCCGTGCCCCGGGTCCCCGGCCGCCGCCGCGAGCTCGCCGGCGCCCCGGGCTCCGAGCTCCCCGGGGACAGCGACCCGGCCGGCCCCGAGCCGCCCAGAGCTCCCCTGGCCTCGAGCTCCACCGGCCCCGCCGTGCCCTGCGGCCGGCCAGCAGAGGGAGAAGGAGAGGAGCAAGAGGAAGAGAGAGAAGGGGAGGAGGAAGAAAGAGAAGGGGGAGGAGGAAGAAGAGGAAGGTGCCGACCCGACCGCCCGTCGATCCTCGCACCGTTCTGACCACCCGTTGATCCTCGCGCTACTGCGGTCATCCCCGCCGTCGTTGCCGGCCCTCACTCTTGCTATTCTGCCGCCAAGGTAAGCCCTACCCTTGTAGTTATAGTAGTAGTAATTAGTAGTGTTAGTAGTAGTTAGTTGTAGTGTTAGTAGTAGTAGTTAGTAGTGTTAGTTGTAGTGTTAGTTGTAGTAGTTAGTAGTGTTAGTTGTAGGGTTAGTAGTAGTAGTAGTTAGTAAATAGTAGTAGTTAGTAAGTAGTAGTGGTTAGTAGTAGTAGTTAGTAGTGTTAGTTGTAGGGTTAGTAGTGGTAGTAGTTAGTAAATAGTAGTAGTTATTAAGTAGTAGTGGTTAGTAGTAGTAGTTGTTAATAGTTAAGTAGTTCTTAGTATTAGTACTGTTAGTAGTTAAGTAGTTGTTAGTAGTAGTGTTAGTAGTAATTGTTGTTGTACTACTTCAATACTTTCATCTGCATGGAAAGAGAACTAAAGTACATGGCTCCTCTTGATATATTGGTGGTTGTTGGCCTTCGTGCCCATGTTTGGTATATATGTGGTTGTTGGCCTTTGTGCCATGTTTTTTGCAGGTTTTGGGAACCTCCCCGTGTAGGGGAGGTGCTGCAGAAATTTTGAGTCGACACTAACCATTTTTGCCCTTTTTGCAGGAGGACCTATGGGAGGGACTCGGTGACCCCGATCGTCTTTGTCGGCGCTGCGGGTCTTCCTGCACCGCGTCGACTCACCACTACACCGACTCTCCACCGCCCCGCTACCCTGACCTCACCGGCACCCTAGGTATAACCCCTCTATCCGTATGTGGTCTTTGGTCGTGAAACCTAGTTAGGTGTCTCCTGTCCGAAAGAGATACGGTTGGAGGTATGCAGATCTTTTTATATCTGCGACCGTATCTGTTTCGGATTGTCCACGTTTTTTGGACAGCCCGCGGATGCGTAGATGAGTTAGTTTCCATGGTCCGCTCCGGTCCAAGATGGTGTTTCGGCATCACCCCCTATTGTTCTCCGGATACACACTCTCCCTTGCAGGACGTGTATCGGGAGAACAACGGGGAGGTGCTGCTAAAATTCTGTCTCGGATAGGAGCGGAGCATGGAAACTAACCCCATCTACACATCCGCGGGTGGGATTAGGACCTATCCTCACCTATTAGAGAGTAGGGACATCGCGTAGATGCAATTGATGGTCACCTGTGGAGATGTTATATATGCTAGAGGATGGAGGACCGTTAGTGGATGTACACGGGCCGGACAAGTCAGGGTGATGTCAGCATTGAATGGATGAACAAGACCGATCGTTTCTTGAAGCGTGCATTTGGCAAGGCCGCTAGATACCCGAAAATGGCTTTGTGTCCTTGCAGCAAGTGTGGTAACAGGAGAATGCAAAACCAGGAAGTCATGGGTATACATCTGCACAAGAATGGGTCTACGCCGAACTACATCCGGTGGGTCCACCATGGTGAAGCCGATCGTATGAGAGAGAAGGTGGTGAGACTACGCGTCGAGGCTTTCGATGCTGATGCCGGGGTAGCAGACATGGTAGATGACGTTCACCAAGCACAGTTTGCTGAAGGACGTGAGGAGGCGGAGATGCAGGCAGCCGTAGATGCGTTCAAGTACATGATGGACTCGACAGCGAAACCCCTTCACGCTCATTCTAAGGTCTCTCAGCTGGATGCCATTAGTCGCTTGATGGGGTTGAAGTCTGATTTGAACATGAGTCAAGAAGGCTTCGATAAGGTGTTGGCCGTGGTTGGCACCCTGCTTCCAAGGGACCACATGTTGCCGAAGACCATGTACGAGGCACAGAAGCTCCTTAAAGCACTGAAGATGCCGTATGAGCAGATACATGCTTGTCCGAACGGGTGTGTCCTATTTCGTGAAGAACACAAGGAGGCAAATAATCGTCAAGTGTAAA